GTACTTTTCTGACTGATAACTAGTACATAGAAGTGTTAGTTTGCTTGAATGTAATCTGGTGTTTTAATTTGTTTCGATATACATCATCAATGTCTTAACATCTGACTTTTCTGACTGTTTTTAATTTGTTTTTTGTTATTTCAATATAAACTGCTTCTTAACTTTTAGAAATTCAGTTTGTGGATCATTTGATGTGCAGGGGCCAGTTTTCATTCCTACATTAGCTTTTCTGGATTGCGTAGATTCAGCCGCCATAGAAGGGTTATTGCTTTAATTACTTCTCTTTGTACTTTTGGTAGGGTAAATATGCATTGCTTATTGTCACTCTTAAGCCTTATCCTCTCACGAAAGAGGGAAAGGAGTAACTAACCAGGCTACTAGTCATGGTTTTCTTTAGTTTAGTAACAAATTTCAAAGCGTGTCCCTTTATAGTAATTAATCACAAAATGTAGAATAATATTTGTGTGCTATCCATGGTTTTATGTATTTTTGAAGTTGAGATGTCACCGGCTATTATATATAGAAGTAACAATGAGTGGGCTTGCATTGAAGCAACGGCATATGTAGTAAGGTTTTACAATTGTATTAGTTTATTTGTAATGAAATTTGTTTTCATTGTTGGGCTTTATCAAGAAATTTATGTTCATTGAAGAATACGTGTTTGTTTGTGTCTATAAAAATTCAAATTTGGAAGATGTTCCCCTACCTTTTCTGATATGTGCTATTGGTCTTACAATGTGTTTTTGGCAACATAGTAGTTTCTAATTGTTTTAGCCAGTTGTCTTTCTTTCATTCGACTACTCATCTACCAAATAATAAATTGACCACGACCATTTTTTTTGATGGGATATTGAGTGTTAAAAATTAAATTGGTGGCTTTGTAAATTGATTCACTTATATATTGACGCTCTTAATGGCCCCAGGCATTATGCTTGCAATAGGAAAAGTGCCTTGAAACTAACAGTCTAATAATCAATTCTATCTATATGCTATTGGTTTATCAATCTTTCCTTCTGATGCATTGCTTTTCCTCTACAGTTAGCTTCATTGAAAAGAATACTTAATGAGGTTGCCTGAGACAATAAAAAGCTTGATGTTATTAGAGTAGTTTGCGTGATGTACTTCCATCTAGTCTCTGGACATATTTACATGTTCTTGGTTGCTCCCGATCTCACAACATTTGCCTCAAAGCTTCATAAAGAGTGGTTGTTTAGATCCAGAGTACTTCCTTTTTCTGCTTGAAAGTCACCCCTAGGCATCTATCACCACTTCTTAGAATATTGTCTCAATTATGGACCTTCAGAAGGAAAAAGAGAAGCTCTACTTTGTAATGAAACTTTTAATTCTGAGTCTGAGTAATTAGTTTTTCAATTGCAGATTTTCAAGGTTTAGAAAGCTCTTTCTTCATGATACATAGAACAAGATGTTGAAGTTTTGTTGTATTACCATTGGTGTTTGGTAAAATAAAATGCTCATCTAACTTTTGGGGCCTTGAATTTTGAGTCTATAGCACCATACGCCAAAAATGACTAAGCAGTTTTCAATGTATTAGGTATAGCTATTTCAAGATATTTTTTCTCTTATTTCCCCATTGATACTAAGTACCTTAAATCACTTCTATGTTTGGGGAATATCTATTTATTTGTTTTCTATCACTACTTCCTTATAAGTGGGCTATCTTCATCATATGTATTGGGAAGCCCAGCATCCCACGTTGGTGATGCTTTGGGTGTCATGAGATGTGTTTGTTGCTCAAGCACCAGTTAGCTAGTACTTTTGAGTGATGAGTCAGTTGTGTAATCTCTAAGCTTGCTACCATGTTCGATGAATTTTGTTGTATGATAGTGCATGGTTTGTTAACCTTTTTTCTAATCTTGGTTACTAGATTGTCCCTCCTGAACAGGAGAAAAAATAACATCAGTAGGGAGTTCAATGCTTTATTAAAATTGAGGGGCTATTATTGCCAACCAAATTGCTTATACATCTGTATAACAAGGTGCCGATTATCTGTGTCTGAAGTCCTGTAGTCTCACTGCATTTTTTCTTAATATTTTATTGTATGACACAAGAGCTTTCTGTTTATATCTTCAATATAGTGCTCAAATGTTATATGTTGGCATTAGTTTGCTTATGTATGCTTGACACCCTTTACATATTTAGTACAGGTGGGGCAAAAAAGGGTTCTTTTAGAAACGAGATACTTTGTCATAAAACCAAAAATGAACCCAGACAACCAAGGGAATAACTCAGATGCTTCAGCTAGTGTACCAGCCAGGCGGAAGCGTGGTCGTCCACGCAAGTATCCGAGACCAAACCTAAATCATGGAGAGAATGATCATGTCCCCAGAGATGGAGTAAATGCTTGTGCACCACCCGGAGCTGAAGGAGCAAACAGAAATCAGCCCCGTCAAGCGGAGCCAATTGGTGAAGGAAATGATATCATGATGGGTCAGCCAGTTCATGGTGTTATTGAGGCGGCATTTGATGCTGGATATTTACTCAGCGTCAGGGTTGGCCCCTCTGAAACCATGTTACGGGGTGTTGTCTTCAAGCCTGGACATTACGTTCCTGTTTCAGCAGATAATGATGTAGCTCCACATGTCCGAATGATCAGAAGAAATCATGTTCCATTTCCAGCAGAAAATTTTGCTCAGGTCCAAGGCTCTCGATCCAGAGATTCAAGAAATGGATTTGCTCACTATTTGGTGAATCACAACCGGCAAACCAGATGGCTCGCGTAAAAGCCAGACAGGTGACTTCAGGACCTGTCGAAACCGCTAAGCCTGTGATACCAAGAGGCAATGTGGTGCCCGTCGTGCTCAAGCCTGTTAATTTATCAAATGGGGGACCAGCCGTGAACCAGCCATCTCAAGTTGGAAGTGAAGCTCATCATTTGACAACCTCTAAAGGCAAACAGGTATCAGATACAAACGGTTCAACACCCACGAACCAGGTCCTAACAGAAGAAAACCAAGTGCTTCCATCTCAACCTGCAAGCTCTCATCAGACCATACCTGGAGGGATGCAAACTGAAGCTGGTGTCTTTAAGCAGTTCCTAACAGAAGAGCTGCCCGAGTCAGAAGACAAACCAAGGAACTTGCCTGGCATGCCTTTTGAAAAACTGCTTACTGAAGTCATGAAGAGAATTCAATCCCCCTCACAGTCAGTAGAGACTCAGACTGAGGATCAAGCTCTCTCTATTGAGCCCCTGCAAGCTGTACAGATGGACCACTCTGTATCCATGCCCAAACCTTTGGAAAACTACAGAACTGGCAAGATGACCGAGCTTCTGCAGGTAAAACAAATCTTAACTAGAATACTAGAACTCTCCATTAATCTGCCATATCTAGCGTTTAATAACATCCTACATCTTGTCCAGGCTGTACAGGAAAATATGATAGAGACACAGGCATCTGGAGCTGAGGCGGCTGAGGCTAGAATTTCTCCAAATCCTGAAACTGAGAGTGAAAAGGAAGGAAGTCTGTTTGAAAATAAACCTCTCCAGGCTGCAAGTGTCTGAACTAATAAGCTGGAAGAGATGCGATATTCTGTGGTGGTTTGTGATGATATAATAGGCAAAGGGTGGGAAGAATTAGTTGATGTATGTTATGATGTTAAAATAGGTAAAGGTTTCTGAAGATGTTTAGCATATTACAGATTTAGGAGAAAAGTTAGGTTGGATTTTACCTTTCAGTTTTATAAATTGGTCAAGAGTGAAGGAACATCTTGTTGAATAGATATGCTGACTTTAATGTTCAGATACCTCAGGGTTTATATAGGATTCGGTTGAATGGTGCAATTCACCAGGGCATTTATCTTGCCTATGGAATTGTCTGTAACAATTTAGTTTCTATGGGTTTCTCTGGTTGGTTTACATAAAAATGTTCGCTTTTTTTTTTTTTTTTCTAATGGTTTTTCTTTTTCTTTTTTTGTAATTTTAATATATTTAATCTTGAATTTTTACATGTTAGTATTTAGAAGGCCAAGAAGATGTTCTTCAGAAACAAATAAGTTTGAAAACAAAATGACGAATCAAGTTATAGCATAAATTTACTAGATTTGGAGTAACTGTAATTTATCTAATTTTTATACCATCAGTAAATTTTG